GTCAATTGCAGTGCATCAGAGGCAGTCTTTAGAGGAACAATGCAGAAGCAAAACAGGAAATGATTACACTGGTTGCAGTGCAACATTGCTTTTTATTGTTGTTTACCCTATTTACAGTTTCTATGTTTGGCTTAAGTTTCGTTTCTGCCTAACAGAAGTATTTACTGGAAATGATCTAAGTTTTGACGACATGCAGTGTAAGCCTGGTCAATACCATTTTTAGTCGTTGGTTTTGGTGGCACAGGAGTTTTTCAGACCTGTTCCTCTTCAATTGTGCCAAATGGCCTGTTGTAGCCTGAATGACTTCCTTTGCTCTCTGAAAGACAGAAAAGGATCCTGGGAGGACATTTCTCATTAACCTTTCCCCACAGCAGCCACAGGACGTTCTTAGATGGGACACGGCTGGTGGCCATCCTGTAGGGGCAGCAGCAGAGAGAGTGGGTAGACCACAGCGCAGGAACACCTGGAATCTACCCACTGTGGGTGTTTTCACCAAAGGGTGGACCAGCCTCTGGTTGTCTGGATTTGGAGTGCTTCTTTTTTGGGGGATGGGGGAGCCAGTAGTGGGGCCTGAACTCTGGGCCTGGGTGCTGTCCCTCAGCTCTTCAGCTCAAGGCTAGTGCTCTACCAATTGAGCCACAGTGCCACTTCCAGCTTTTTCTCTTTTTGCTTATGTGGTGCTGAGGAATCGAACCCAGGGCCTCATGCATGCAAGGCAAGTGCTCTACCACTGATCCACTTTCCCAGCCCTTGGAGTGCTTCTTGCTTTGAGCACCTAGCTGCCTTTCATGTTCCCAGTGGGATCCTCCATAGAAAGCAGCGAACAATGGAAACCATAAAGGCAAATTAAGGTAGAATTCAGAAACTGAACAGAATGTAATTTGGTCATCCTGTGAACAGATCAATGACCCACAAAGTAGTCTCCAAAAGAAAGAGGCCTCTGCCTGGCCCTTGGATACTGAATTCTTGATGTTATCACAAAAAAGATATCAAGATGGGGTCAAGGAAGTACATTAGTACAGCAAAGTCAAGAAAAGACAGATTCAACTTAGAGTGGGGTGTGGGGTGTCTGATCACAGGTGCAACGGCTGTGAGAACATCACAGACTTGGCTCTAATTCACCATCGGTACAGTGAGCCCCTAGTTCTGACACCTGGTGCATTTCACCATCTCTGCTGACACATTGTTTTATCAATTGGGACCAGGGATCTCCAGGTTGGCCTGCTAAACATGGCTCATTGATGCCACACACTTCTTTTAAGACAAGTATCTATCCTTCTGACAGATATGTGTGTGTGTGTGTGTGTGTGTATGTGTATTGAAAGAAATTTTATGTTCCTTAAGTGAATAAACACAAATAAAGCTAGTTGTAAACATTCTGTGCTTATTTGTGTACATATGACTATGAATTTATATAACCACAGAATGACATATAAATGTACAAATTAGATGGAAACAAAACCTCAAAGTATTCAAGGTATAATTAAAAATGAGCAGTTGATTGTGGAAATACAATGGGGCTTACCTATAAACACAAGTGATATTATTTTTCTTAACAAATACTTTTTTTGTCCAAAGGAGAGTCATTTTCATAGAATAAGTGTCTATTAAAATTTCTTTATTGTTATTGTAAAGGTGATATGCAGAGGGGTTAGTTACATAAGTCAGGGAAAGAGTACATTTCCTTTGGTCACTATCACCCTTCCCTCATTCTCTCCCAATTTTCCCTTCTAGTCTCAATCCACACTCTGTATGGTTCATATGCAGGATAGTGTCTAGTGAGAAGTGTCTCTTTTAATTTTTTTTTTTTGCTTAGTCTTAGAGCATGCTAATCTTCAGGGCAAGTGGGTGAGGTCAGAGAGAGAGAGAGCTATGTTTTTTTCTTTTTGCTCAATGTTACAGCTTATGAACAAATGTAGGGCGTAAGACAAAAAGGGTGCTTCTTGCGTGGGGACTCATGCCTGCAATCCTAGCTACTGAGGAGGCTGAGCTCTGAGGATCGCAGTTTGAAGCCAGCCCAGTCAGGAAACTCCATGAGACTCTGATCCCCAATAAACTACTGAAAAGAAGCTAGCTGTGGCTCAAGTGGCAGAGTGCTAGCCTTGAGTAAAAGAAGGTCAGGAACAGTGCCTAGGCCCAGGGTCCAAGCCTTAGGTCCGGGCGGGGGTTGGGGGGGGAGAAAGAGGTGCTTCTGTGCTTTCAATTATTCATTACCACAGTGTTTAGCTCTGAACTTCTGGCACCTGTTCCCTGTGCATCTCTCCTACCAGGTGGGATGTGTGTCAAGTACCTACCTGAAAATCTTCCTCGACAGGCTTAAAGCATTTAATGTCTCTGCTGCTAATTAACATGTTGTCTCATATTGGCAGTGTCTTTCATTAGTTTGGAGCTGCTTCAAGACAAAACAAAACCCCGAAGTGGCAGTGTCTATTCTATCATACTTCTCACCCATGGCTGATGAAAATACTCACAAAACTTCTCATTTTAAGTGTATTATGCTTGACGTTATTAGAAAAGGTCTAACTTCTATGAGCAATATTTTTGTGCCTTAAGGAAGATCTTTCATACTGCAAATAAATTTCATATGTATAGTGGTGCAACAGTGTATTTCCATCAAAGTAGTAAAGTTATGTCCCATGGAAAAATATTCTACTCTGCCGCAGTTTTTTTTTTATTTGATTGGTCGTGGGGCTTGAACTCTGGGCTTGGGCACTGTCCCTCCACTCTTCAGCTCAAAGTGAACACTCTACCGCTTGAGCCACAGCGCCATTCCAGTTTTCTACGGGTTTATTGGAGATAAGAGTCTCAAGGACTTTCCTTTCTGGGCTGGCTTTGAACAGAGATCCTCAGATCTCAGCATCCTGAGTAGCTAGGATTACTGGTGTGAGCCACCGGCACCTGGCTATTCTGCTGCAGTTTTTTAAGCTAGAACAATTACAATGAAGTGAAATTAAATAGCTTGTCAGGTATCGTGTGCTCAATAAATAGCCACATGTAGGTAATGGCTACCCTATTGGATACTGTAATTTATAGAATCTACTCAAATATTTGGAATTTAGACATCTTCTTCCAACTAACCTAAGGTAAAAACATATTACAAGAAGGATAAAAAAAAACTTCAGATGGATGACAATTAAGTCAAAATGTACAAAAATGTGTGGAAATTTTGATAAATTAAAATTTTTACATTAGAAAGGAATTGCTATTGGCACACACAGCGTCATGGTGACACGCTGTAGAGACCATGCATATTGTACTGTGGGTGCCAGCAAACACTAACATGGGGAGCTGAGCACTCTGATCGTAGGAAGTCTTCTGGCAAGGGTGTGGCTCAGTTCTCTCTTCCTTCTAGCACAAATTTCTTGATCCTGAGATGCAGTTCCAACTGCATTCTGAATTAGGATCCTTTAACTACTTCAGAAAAGATCTCCAAGTATACCGAGATCTTCTCATGTGGTGGCCTGGAGCTTGAAATTCTCACTCCAGCTGCCCTACAAGATTCTAAAAGCACTCCATCGCTTCCTTTTCTTGCTCCCCTCCTTCCCGGCCTCCCTACACCCCACTCTCCACAAACACCCACCACACACCCTTACCCCACCCACACTCTCCCTACCATCAAAGGAAGAGTGTGCATTGGGATGAAAATATCCTTTGCTTGCTAGTGCCAGAAGTCAGATGTAATGAAGGGCCACAGAACACAAGGGAAAGTAACAAGTATGACCATCCCTGGATGCTGACCTCTTCCGCTCAAGTCTCCCTGGCACTTCTGCCTGTGACTAGAGACAGGGTCCCTCGTTCCCACAGCTGACTCCTTCACACCCCACCCTGACTTCATCCCCCATTCCACCTAGGACGTTCCCACGGGCCCTGTTTGTTAGGATTTGAGAGAAAAGCCCCCTCTTTCTGCCTCTTCTGCTCCCACTTCGCCTCCTGCCCAGCTCCGTGTCCACCCTTCCCCACATGGCCTTCTGCTTCAGCCACTGCTGGTACCCATCTGCCCGTGGTTCTCCTGCTGAACTGGCCATAGAAATCATGAAGAGGTAAATGGTATCAGCCTAACGTGGCTTTATTGGGGGGCTTACGCCCAAGCACAAGGGGGACAGTGCGTGGCAAGGGCTCCCGGACTGGCATGGCCCCGGCGAGGAGCCCTGCACAGGTAACTTTTGGTTGCTAACCTGCCCAAGTGCATCAGTGGTGGTAGCTTATGACTCAGGAGTTCTGCACACCTCCTAGCCATCTTCTTTTTATTTTTATTTTATTTATTTTATTTTATTACCTTTTTTTAATTGTGAAAATACCGTACAGAGGGGTTACAATGACATGGGCAAGATAATAAGTATATTTATTATCAAGCATTTTTTCCTCCTCCTTTGTTTCCCTTTCCCATCCCTTTCCATCTCTCCCCCTCATCCGATTCTCCCTCCCCACCAATAAAGTTGTAAAGTTCGTTTTTCGACATAACGCCTTGTACATCTCATATTTGCAATGGGTCCACCCCACTCCTAGCCATCTTTGCACCAAGATTTTTACTCAACATGCCCATTGCTCATTTGCACTGCATCCATCTGTTCTTGGTTCACCGAGAGCCCAGAAGCCACCATACCAGGATGGTCAAACACAGGTCCCACTCAGGGATTCTGCATGCATACACACAGGCTGCCAGAGCACGCACCATGAGCTGAGAAGGAAGGTCATTACAACACAGCGATCTTAGAGTACATTGCCTATTAAAATAGCTCACCCTAGGGAGGGGGCTCTTGGCCTCCCCCTCTCTGTCTGACTACTATGTTGTGCCCACCACAGTGTGGGCACCTTACCAGCAATCACTCCTACTCCTCTTACAGGTCAGAACGAAGCCCAAGAGATACACAGGCATTTGGCCAATGGCTCCTGCTGAGGTACATGAACATAGATGGGCTCTGGTGGCCAGGGAGAAGTGGGAGGAGTTCCACATCTGAGTGCAGGCGACAGTTCTGTCCTCAAGAATCTTTGGCTCTATCAGGACTCAGACTTATACTAAAGAAATGCAAGGTCATTGAGATAGGAGGGCCCATGTGAGGCCAACAGAAAAAAGGAGGCATAAAAGAAGTCATACGGACCTCTGAGGTGAGCTGAGTACTCTGGACCCAGCACCCCTCCCTCCACCCCCAACCACTCTCGACTGGGAACTTGGCAGTGCTCTGTGCAGACAGAGAAAGCAAGGGGCTGAGCCTAGGGGCGCAGCCATGGAAGGACTCTCCTGCGCATGTCTAGCGTCCTTTCAGACGGACGCCCTTCGCAGCAGGTTCCTGTGAATCTTCTCAGACTCCTGCTGGACTTGGGAAAGCTCTTCCAGCATCTCTTTTGACCTTTGACCCGGGGTTGCCTGTCTTTCCTGCACTTCTGGGGGTGGAAAGCTACGCTGGGCGAATTGGTAAACCAAGTTGGTGTAACAATGGCCCTCATTTTCCCACAGGATCCCTTCAATTTTCCGCATGAGCTCCTGCCGCTGGGCCTCCTGCTCTGCTCCCTCTGCTTTGTTGTTGAAGCCACAATGGCGTCGCTCACAGATCACATCCAGCTTGGCAAGGAACTGGTTATTGGTCTTCTGCACATATTCTTCCAGGGACCCCCCAGCCAGATCTTCTATCCGGGTGAAAACCAGGATGGTGTAAGCCAGGATCCCCAGTCCAAAGATCTCTTGCAGACGCCTGACGACCTCCTGGTCCTCTCTGGTGAACCGGCCCATCTGGCTCACCAAGAGCACCGCGTGAGGGCCTGGCGAGGTGAGGGCGATGGCTTCACAGACCCCAGCTGCTACTTCTGGCCACACCCGAGGGGACAAAATGTCTGGGGTGTCAATCACCTCGAGTTCCTTCTCAGACCACGCTCGGCTCTCTCGTTGGCAGGTCACGGTCACTGGTCTAGCACTGAGTCTAGATTCAAACACTTTGCTGCCCAGGATGCTATTTCCGGTTGCACTTTTCCCACTTCCGGTTTTCCCCACCAGAAGGAGCCTCAGTCTCCTTGGGATGAGTTCTTTCTTCTTCAGACCTAGAGCTAAAGGACAGAAGGAGAGAGAACTGGGGATAGAGCGGTTTGCACCATTGACTAGAAGGTCATTCTCCTCAGTATCCTCCACTATCCGAGGGACAGGTTGTCTCAGGTTGGGACAGGGATGACAGAGACCAACAACGTCTGACCAGGAGACTCCCCGTGCTCCCGTTCGCAGCTCCTGTGCTCCCGTGTCCTAGCCCCATGCTCCGGCTCTCAGTGCAGGACCTTGCAGGTGGGGCCGAACATTTCCACAGTGGGGTATTAGAGCCATCAGTTGTAAGATGACACGTGAAGGTGCCAATCACACGTCGACACACATCATGCCAGGATTTTTCAGTATGTCTGAAGATGGTGGGCAGGAAGGGAAGTCTTCTCTCCCAGCCTTGCAGGTGCTATGACACACAGCAGCTACAGCAGTGACAGGATGGTTTCCAAGCACAATCCCCCCCCCACCCCAAGATGTTAATGGGTCTTAGATTATAGAATGCCAACTTTCCCACAGGTATTTGTGCCCTGACTTCTCAACACCCCAAGCCCCCATGAATTTCCCTCCTGCCTACTTGAATCCATGGCTGGCTGACCCACAGATCAGTTCTGACAGAGCAACACTAGTTCCCTCCAGCCCTTCTGGAGATTCTAGGAGAGGGGCCTGAAAGGAATTTGGGTAAAGGGGTAGACTCGCAAGAAGTGTAAGTGGCCAGATATTCCTTCCTGCCTGCCTAGCCAAGACAAGATGGGGGGAAAGAATAACTTCCATTTGGACCCTTACCATTGGACCTTCCTTAAAGACAAATATGTGTGAGAAATCTGGAGTGGAACTTTTAAAGGAAAATGTAATCATGATCTTTCAGTGCAGTAGAGTTACATGACTTGAGGGCTCAGGCCCTTTAATTTCATCAAGTACACGATCATGTATGTTGAGAAACACAGTCAGTTACAAAGAGTTTCTTGTGTGCAGGAGACTGCATGGGTTTCCAGCATTCCTAAATTCCATCACCAAGGATTAATAGCAAAGCTGAGCTTTTGCAAAGGCCGGGCCCCATTCTGAGCAGTGGCCCCCAAACCCACTCTGCTGGATCATATAGTGTTCTCACACTCACGACCATGACCCTCCCTCCCACATCCCAGCCGTCCAGACACTCCCACCCCACAGGGACTGCTGGTCTCCAAGCTCAGGGACTCCTCATACCACAGCC